AATATGCAAGTCCTTTTGTGGTTAGACAAAGGGTTTTCTTAATGTATTCTGTGATAGAAGTGCCCTTAGAGCCAGCTCATCCATGTACGCAGACCCTCTGTGAGCTCAGTCTTTTTGTAAATTGGGAACAAACTTTACAATACACTCTGCTTGCAACAAAATTGGACATTCATTTTTAAGCACACAACCTCATAACCAATTCTTTTAAGAACAGAACTCCCTTTGTGTCATAAAAGGTAAGGTGGAGAGGAAAAAGATCTAGGGTAGTGATTTAACAAGCACTGTGTTTTGGTGCTGCCGTACTGAGGCTTGCAGAATACAGTGCACTTTCTGCAGTCACTTTTAACTACCATAACAGATGATTTTAATATCTTTGAGTTTAATAGTTTGGTGCTTCAGTTTGATTTTAATCTTAGTTCAAGTTATTAGAAGTGTTTTTGCTTTTAAAAGAAAAATGACCAAAAGTTCAAGTATGACATAGGGTGACAGCCAGCAGCCACGTAAAATTAAAATGTTAGCTTAGTAAGCTGAGCGGTAGTAACACTGCACAGCTTAAAATTACAAGCCAAGAGGTGCTGAAATAATGTTCTACCTGTGCCATGTGCATTCAGTAGTTTTGGAGAAATTTTATCCACAGTGAAATGCTGAAAGCAAAATTTGGCTTAGAAAGAAAGCATACATAAAATTTTGCATGATGGTGTTAACTAGATGCAGTTACATCCTCTATGCTTCATGACATAATTTTCACAATGTTAATACTGGTTTTCTTAACTGCGTTCACGAAGACACTGCATTTGAAGGAATGTGACCTCTGAAATACATTTAAAATATCTAAGATCATGCTGTTTTTTTTGTATACCCAAAGATAAAGTTGCATTTTTTGATGTTGTAAAAATTCCATGTTTACACATTCTTTTGGGTCCAGAAACTTGCTATCTCTTAGGCTTGAGCTCAAAGTTACAGATCAGATTCCAAGGTCTTAGTCTGTTCTCATTCTAAATATGGTTTATAAAGGTGGATTTGTGAAGCAGTAGCTGCAGCTGAGATGGAAACTTGCTCCTTTCCCATTCCAGTAATTAATGAAAGGTGAACTTCAAAGCCTAAATGAGATCATTTGAAGTGCTAAAATTATTGAACACCAGAACTGTTTACGCTCCTATATGATCCTAAAAAGAGATTGCCATGTAAAAAAAAATAAAATAAAATAACCATTGAAATATAGCTAAGAAATCTTAAAAGTCGTAGTGCAAGAAGCAATGTTAACTTAGCTGAGAGGGACTCGTGCACAATTTCAGGTGATTCTCTTGCCAGACACATATTTTTTAAATACTGAGACCATTATCAGAAGTACTGAAGTTGATGATCTGCTTGTTATTTTGCTGATATGAGAGGCAGCCTCAAAGTTTCTCCTGGGCTTTCTGCTTTGTTCTGTTTTGGTACTAGCAGCAGCTGTGCCAATTGCTCTGGCGGGATCTGTAGTCAGACTCGGTGGTACCAGAACTCCTTGACTGACTCGTGCAACGGCAGCTACCTCAGCCGCGGCCCGTGTGCCACAAGCCAGGGAGCAGCGAGGTGGTGGTTTCCAACCCTAAGGGAGGGTGGGGTGGCCTTTGGTCAGAGCTGGGGTGATGGTTGGGGATGGTGGGAGCTGGAGGGCAGTAAGGACTGTGTGTCGTGCTGAGGAGAGCCACCGAGGAGAGCATCCGTCCTGCGTAGGAAGCAACGTGCAAACGGGGTCTAGCAAAGCAGGAGAAAGGAAGGGGAGTCAGGGAGCAAACGCTCAGGAAGCCAAAGGCTGCTCATTTCTGTGAACGTTCTGTTTTTCTGATTTTCTAGTTATTTAATTTTTTTAAAATTGAATTTTTCACGCAGCACAGCTGCTTCCCTGCTCAGTTACCCATGTGCCCGACGCAGCCCGTTAGCCAAACCGGAGGCTTTTGCCTCGCTCCTGCTTGGTGCAAGGAGCTCGCAGCCCTCAGCAGCAGCCGGGGCCCCGCGTTCACCCTCCCCAGCACCCGCTGCACGTGCGAAAGCTCCGTCCTGCAGCCCCCAGAACCGGCAGCGTTGGTCACGAACGAGGAAGTCGCAGGATGCTTAGTTTAATCTTGTCCAATTTATTTTTTAATTCTTTGGTTACTTAATTAATACTTTAATTTTATAGAACAATTGAATTAAGTGTATCTTAATTCTTGAAGAGTGCCAGCACCAAGGCACACTGAGTTATAACTGGCTTTTCCCAGTGTTTACAATTGTCTGTCTTTTTCATTCTTATCCATCCAGAGTAAATAGAATTAAACAGCAAATATAACTTTATACAAGCCAAATTTCACATTAAGCCAGTTTTGCTTTATTTCTGTTCAGAGATGTGTGATGCGAACTTTATTCCTCTCTAGAAAAATCTGTATAATTGTAGTAAAACAGAACGAAAAGCTCAACAGGTGAACATTTAAACATCTTATTGTGTGGGGAATGCGGAGAGCTTTATCATTATTTGCAAACTTTCTACAGGAGTTGCTACAATTCATCCACTATGCAGCATTTGTTTGTGTTAAACAGTAGAATAGCAATGGTCCAACAAAGGCCTGGGGCTATTTAATAGCATCTAGTTTGCTAGCACTGTATGATACTCCTGCATTTGCAAAACTGAACCAGCTGGTCAACAGACAGCCTGGAGTGCCCTGGTGCTCCACTTTTTCCTGCTCTTCCCTCATTTTCTCTCTAGGGACAGAGAATTGCACAGTAATTTGTAGCTACAATGCGACTGACTATGAGCTTTCAACTTCCAGCAAGTTGTGATGGAATATGTAATACTTTAATTTTCCATTATCCAGATATGGGTTGGATAGATTTTTACTCTATTTTTATTATAAGAATGATAGCCTCTGCATCAGAGTGCAAGTCAGCATCGCTGTGTCATAGTTTGTTTTATACCTGTTGATACTCCTTCCTACCTTAAGAATAACTAAGGAAAAAACATGGAGGATAGAAAAATAAATTCAAACGGAAGAGGCAGAAGAGTAAGAAGTTTATAGCTTATAGGTATAGTAGGAAGTTTATAGGGATGAAGTTTTGTGTTCAGTTATATAAAATGAAGAAAAACTGAAAAAAAAAACGTCATCCTGTGAATTTTTGTTTCATGGAGGCAGTCCTCGATTTGGATTCTGGATTGCATGTTAAGTCCCCTTCGTTATTTGGACACAGTTGATGCTGCAGTATTTTCTTTTCCCTTTTTCTTCGTGCTCCTCCTGCCCGCAGCGCTGCCTCCCGCAGAGCCTCGCCGTGCAGCTGCGTGCGGAGCTGCAGCGGGTCCCCTCGGTCCGCGGCGTGCGGCGGGGGCGG